AATAAGGACAGGACAGGACACTACTCACAGACAAAACTATCCACAATAATAGACCAGACATTACACTTATAGATAAAACACAAAAATCCATTTGTATTATAGACATTGCCATCCCCAACACTAACACCTTAACTAAAACACATGCAGAAAAACACCGCAAATACACCGATATAGCTATCGAGCTTAAGACGCAATGGAGAATGAAATCTACTGTTATAGTTCCCATTATTCTTAGTGCTACTGGAGTTATACCAAAGACAATACACCACAATTTACAACTATTAGGTTTGGACAAAAACACATACAAACATTTACAAAAAGCAGTCATTATCAACACATGCCATATTGTTCGTAAATTTCTAAACATAACACAAGATACTACATACAGAAATGATCCACAACGTATACATGTAAACAACCGCACTCCCTCACAACACGGTACACAACATACTGTAATATCTCCACCTCTAACCCAAACAAACACACAAATACAACTTACCGAACAAACAAGTACAACAAATGATACAACATATACTACAATCAGAGATTCACCTCTGAAGCAAACCACATTATCACCACCCATTAGTATTCAACCCAGACGCAAAAGCCTAAACAGCACTTTAGATTCACAACATGACACACAACATACTGTAATATTTCCAAACTTAACTCCACCAACCACACAAACACAACTTCCTGAACAAACAAACGCAATAAATACAAGTAACGCAACACGCACTACAAAGACGCCCTCACCCACACGGCCTAGCACAGCTAAAAAACACAATACTCTTTCTTCTCAGAAACACACCACATTTTCACAACCCACTCGTATTCAACCGAAACGCAAAAACCTTAACAGAACTACAGGCTCACAACATACTAAAATATCTCCAGCAAAAACCCAAACAACCTCTCAAATACAACCTCAAGAACAAAGAAACACCATAAATACAACTAACGCAACATGCACCACAAAGACAGGTCCACCCAATAAAATTACACGCCCTAGCACAGTTAAAAAACACATAACTCCTTCTTCACAGAAACACACCACATTTTCACAACCCACTCGTATTCAACCGCAACGCAAAAACCTTAACAGAACTACAGGCTCACAACATACTAAAATATCTCCACCAAAAACCCAAGCAATTTCACAAATACAACCGCAAGAACAAAGAAACATCATAAATACAAGTAACGCAACATGCACTACAAAGACAGGTCCACCCAATAAAGTTACACGCCCTAGCACAATTAAAAAAAACATAACTCCTTCTTCACCGAATCACACCACATTATCACAACCCACTCGTATTCAACCGCAACGCAAAAACCTTAACAGAACTACAGGCTCACAACATACTAAAATATCTCCACCAAAAACCCAAGCAACTTCACAAATACAACCTCAAGAACAAAGAAACATCATAAACACAAGTAACGCAACATGCACTACAAAGACAGGTCCACCCAATAAAGTTAAACGCCCTAGCACAGTTAAAAAACACAATACTCCTTCTTCTCAGAAACAACCCACTCGTATACAACCGAAACGCAAAAACCTTAACAGCACCACAGGCTCACAAAATACTGCAATATCTCCACCAAAAACCCAAGCAACCTCACAAACACGACCTCAGGAACAAAGAAACACCATAAATACAATTAAAAAACACAAAACTCCTTCTTCACAGAAACACACCACGTTATCACAACCCACTCGTATTCAACCCAAACGCAAAGCCAAAGAAACACTTACACAATAAACTCCATTTAATAAAATTACAGGAATTATTATAATGATTTGTTTTGTTTTGTTTTGTTTTCCTCTTTTTTGATAGCGTTGGCTATTGTGCCCATCAATACCTATGTTGGTAAGTATGAATTACATACTATCCCTAGATTGCCAATGCATGTGTTTTTTTTAAGGACCCTACATAACAATGCACCAAACACAGACACAGATACTAATCGTTACTTGATTTTAATCCGTGCGATTAGTTAACCAGGCTAGACCTGAGTTCTCACAAGAAACACCGACCATAATAATAATATATTTACCCAACAGCATAAGACCAATAACAGAGCAAAACCTTCGTAAGCTATAACATGCTAACCATAATGCTTAAGAAAAATTAAGTATGTAGTAGGTAAGTTAAATCTAATTAATTTTAATACAATTGACAAAAACAAAAAATTTGAAAATATCAGAAACACTGTAATGAGGTACAAATACATTCTTAGCAGATTCTAAGATGTGACTTATAGAGTCATTGTGGATATCAACTAAATCACAGATAAGGTTGTATCTAGAGCACATTAAATGGACAGGAGCTCTTGCTAGTAAATTTGTACGAGATTGAGAGACATAAAATGCATCAAGCTGTCTACTATTAAGCCTAGGCACACGAAAATTAATCATGCTAAAAGTTGAGGACAATCAGTAATATTGTTTAGTAATTTATATAAGAAAGTAAGACAAGTTATAATTCTCCTAAATTCGCAAGATGTCATTTTAAAGGTATTCAATAATGTTCCATGATCAAATCCTTGACAGGGGTACGCACCAAAATGCTTTAACCATAAATATTTCAAAAATTTTCTTTGGATATTTTCAACTAAGCTTTTATAATATTTATAGTGGGGGTACCAAATAATTGCGGCGTATTCCAGTCGAGGACGAACTAAGGTAATATACAAAAGCGTTATAACATCTATATTATGGAAGTCTCTTGTGCTTCTTATTACAAAGCCTAACATTTTGTACGCAGAAGCAACAGATTCTGTAACATGATCATTAAATGACAAATCTTTATCGAATAACACTCCCAGATCGCGAGTACGTATGCATTGGGATAAAGTAATACAATTCACGGTATACTTGTAATCAATTTTATGTACTTTTCTCGTTACCGACATAGATTTGCATTTGTCTATATTTAATGGTAATTTATTAATTAGACACCAATTGTAGATTGCAAACAAATCATTTTGAAGAGTAATACAATCAGAAATTGTATAAATTGATGAGTAGATTTTTACATCATCAGCAAATAGTAGTAGATTCGAGGATATTACTTCACATAAATCATTAATAAATATGAGGAATAATAGAGGACCCAAGTTAGAACCTTGGGGAACTCCAGAGGTAGCTATATACGAGTTGGACTGATGGCCATTGTAAGTAAGATACAAAGTTCTATTTGTTAAATATGACTTAATAAGGGCGACAAAGTGATGAGAAAAACCCACTCCAGCTAATTTGTGCAACAATATGTTATGATGCACTCTATCAAAAGCCTTACTAAAGTCTGTAAATATTGTATCAACTTGGCCTTGGTTGTCCAAAACTTCATGGCAATACTGTGAATAACAGCTGAGGTTAGTGATGGTAGAACGATTTTGCACAAATCCATGTTGATAAGATGTTATTATGGGTTTAAGGTTATTGTACATAAATCGTTGCATTACAATTTCAAACAATTTAGAAAAATTCGATAAGATAGCTATCGGTCGATAATTACGAACGTCGGATTGAGAACCGCTTTTGAACACAGGGACAATATGAGTATCTATAATAGGTACATCGTATTCAAATTGTACATAATTTTTATGTAACCGATATTATTAAATTGCTTTTTGATAAGTAGGTAACAATACACCTACATCCATAGGCGCCGACTTGACAAAATTTTTGGGGGGGCCCAAACATTTTTACGTACCTGCATAGGGTATCGGGTTACGGGTATAAGTAAAAAAAAAATTTTTATAACAACCCTAACCGACAACCGTCGACTTTTAACTAAAACCAGCAAGTACGAATTTTTGCATTTTTAAATAATGCACTTATCGTAGTAGGTGTAAGGTGCAGGTACCTATCTTTATCCTTTATCTCAGAAAGAAAAACTATGACGTCACATCAGGAGTCAGATTATTGCTTCTTAGAAGTGTCAACGGTTTCCTGCTTACTTGGGACGGTTTGTTATTGCATTTTTGCATTGAGGTAGAGGTATAAAGGTTTATTGTTGAGTCTAAAGCTGATTATGCAGTTTCAAGATTTGGTGTAAGTAACCACGAATACGAATACGGTATATAATTGTCACTTATTCAGAATTAGGGGAGCTGAGCCCCTCCAGTATAAATATTGGAGGGGCTGAAAGTGCTCGGCCACCCCTAAGTCGGCGCCTTTGCCTACATCAAATGTATGAAAAAAATGTATGAAACGGGTCTAAAAAATTAAAACGTTGTTACTCCTGATTATTACATTTATTGACGTACAATTTTTTTTTATTATCGGTCAATTATCGTTGGTACTAATAGACGAATAAATGGAAGGCATTGAGATTCTTTTGTTACTGGTCTAATAGGGTCATAAACCATTGTATATAAGTATAATGGTCATTACGTGTTAAAATTTTCCAGGTAAAAGTACTACCTGAGTTGCCTATCGTCAATATATGGAAGGTATTGCATTTCTTCCGTCGCTATATTTTATATAAACTTTTGAGTAAAAATTACGTTTTATTTCATAATTTGAAGCAGTTCGTAATATATTTTTTTAATCCATAAATTGTACGGATTTACTTTTTAAATATTTTTTTTACTAAGGCCAGTATTCGCGTTCTTAGTAAATTCAAGATTATCATTTATACACGACTTAAATAATTTTATCAAAAAAATAAATCGCTACATTTAATGACTTTCTATATCTCTATCAATTTCCGGTAAGACCTCTAGTTAGAATTAATATTTGGACTTCAAAAATTGCTCAAAAGTTTCGACTTTTATTGCAAATTTCAGTGACCATTATGTGTTGCCTATCCTCTATCCCTAGCCCCCTTCACTTTTCGCCCCTTCACCCCACGCCTCGAAAGGCTTTGGTGTATTATGAGCAATAGATACTAACGCACAACCTAGCGCACAGCCTTCGATGTCACGAAACCTGGAATATTAGTTGTTGACTGAATGTACATGTTAATAATAATGATTCAATAGATCATTAATGAATGATGGGTTTATGTAAAACAATAACATTATGTATTACACTTAAAAGTTACACATAAAACTAATAACGCGTAACTTGTCTCATATCTGCACGTTTGTTCGTATAATGACTCATAATGGTTCTCGTAATCCATTGCATATGATAAGGGATGTTGGTGTATACCCCTGGCCAACCTTGAATGCCACAACGGTTACCAAAGCTGACGATCCCTTCTGCGTACCAAGTATTAACACTATCCAGAACCATGAGCGGGCCGCCTGAATCTCCACCACAGGAATCTTTGCCTCCTTCCCCACCTGCACACATCTGGGAGTCCAAAATCGTTACATTTATATTCCCATATAAGGTTTCACATTCCCTTTTGGAAGCACGTCTTACTGTTACCTTTAGTTTGATTGTACTAGGAGATTCTACAATTTGTACCTCAATGAGTTTTAAGTGATATGAAGCACAGCTATCATTGTATAAGCACTGATTAACAAAATTTTAGTCAATGATATTACATGCTTTGTCGGCCAAATTGGAACCAATTGGAACACCCTGTATAGTAGCTATAATGTGAATCTTACCGTTTTCCGTTTTTCCCCAACCAGCCAACCACATTTCACTTTCTTGTGACAGCTTTGTTGCTAAGCAGATGGGGTAAACGAATTCTAAAATTCCCATTGTATTAAAGATTCGCTTTTAGGCTTTGTCACCGTACGTGTAAATTCTGCAGCTTGCTTTAAAGGTAACAATGCGATATCATTATGATATGGGCCGTTCTCGGTGTATTCTGGATGCAATTTCGGCTTTCCGGTTTTTATTACTTGAGGAAAATCTGCACACCATTTGTTACTACCGCGCGTTTCACAATCCAAATCTTCTTCAGTGTTGTGCTCCCCTAGCTGGACGGCATCACTGAATTCTCAGTACATTACACATTGTATAGGTCTAAAATGGTATACATACATCGGTCCTAAGGCTAAAAATGCTTTGGAAACAACACAATGAGCGGCGGTCAGTACAAAATACTCCGAAATTAAGAATCCAGCACAACCATATGTGTAAACATTACTGGCACTGCGGTGCCTTATTCTCGCCATCCATGGAAATTCACTTAAAGTCGCTTCATTACCTCCCATTATTCTTGATGGAAACGCTATCGACTGATTCCCACATATTTCTGGAAAAGGTTGTACATGTGAAAATTGTGGAGGACATCTTGTATCCGGCAACTGTGTCGTGGTAGATGCGCCTAAAACAATAAAAATAATAATTACATCAATAGAAGATGTTTGAAAGCCCTAAGATTATTTATAGAAAACATACGAACATACGAAAAGTACTAAATACAGTGAGAAACAATACGTGGGTGCTAGATGTAGACATAACTTTACCAATGTTGAGACGGACAGTAGCAATTAAATGTGGTATTCTATTGATACTAGCCTATACTTAAAACGGTTGCATGGCATCGGTGCTTTTCGTTTGTTGTGTATACAATCTCACTTCACACACATAAAACACTGATTGGGTTTCTTTCTATAAATCAAACCCGGAATAATTTTTTCCATACCATGGTTATCAAAAAACGTTTTTTTTTTACTTTTGATCAATCGCTATTTTGCATGCTATTTTGTTATTTGAAAAAATACAAAAAATAATAGCAAATACAAATGGTTTAGAGAAAGATGAAAGGTAATTTTGAAAAATAGTTATTTATGCAACAAGTGAGTAAAGTATATCTTTTTTTCACGAGAAGGAAAATTTGCCGCACGAGCCGAAGGCGAGTGCGCAAATCCGCCGAGTGAAAAAAGATACTTTACTCACGAATTGCATACAAAACTTTTTTCACGTTCGTACCTAAAAAAATTAAAGCATAAGAATAACAAATCACTGATGGGTTTTATTTATAAATATTAATATTAAATGTGCAATTAGTGGGATTAACAATTTGAATCTTGGAAGCTGATGCTGGATTTACATCCATTAAATGAGTGACACTGACAGATTCGTCAACCTCTTTAAGAATATCATCATATGCGCAGTGGAGATTATTGGGATTATTATATTATGAGATTATTATCGTTAATATCATCCACAGTAATCTTGTACAGTTCTTCACGACGAATGGCACCCGCGATTCCAAAAATGAGAGCAAGCTGTAAACGACAATACATCATGAAGCGTATAATGGTCATATTGTTAATACCTTGTGCATAAGAAACTGTTCATCAGGAGCATTGTGAAGGAACTTGTGCATTTCATCTCGAGAAAATGTCCTTGATTTCTTGGGTTTGTGGCGAACGGATTTGTTCTTCAAATAAGCAATTAGCTTTGAGTATTTCCGTATATCCACATTATTATTGATTAACAGTGTAGCCTTTAGTTTAGAATAGGTCGACCAAAGTGTTGGCGGCTTCCATTGTTTTAATTTTTCTTCAAAATAACATAATAACACCCTTTCACTACCACTTCCAACGTGTTTTTCGGCTCTCCATTTCATAAATAAATCATATTCCTTCAAATATTGGTCCTTGGATTTTACGGGTAACAGATTGGAGGTGGCGATACCTGCCGCGTTCACAATTTCTTCGGGGGTGAATGAAAAACTCGCATCACTGTCCATTTCCATCGTTCAAGCACACAAATTACGCAAAACAGCGTGATGAACTTAATAAGTACTTGTAATTATTAACAAATGTCAGCGAGTATCATAGCAACGGCGGCCTCCTATGTTTCTTGTCTAAATAGTTTGCGTTAAAAAATGACACGTTACGTTACTTTTTTTCACTCAAATGCGTTAAAAAATGAACCGCTACGGCACTTTTTTTCACGCTACTACCGGACGAAACAAACGCATCCTTTATGAACGCAAATTGATGGAAAATGTTGTACTTTATTTTACGAACGTGAAAAAAAAAATTTTTCAATAGTCCTTAAAATAAGAGAGTTATATGACGATTTTTCGAAAAACAAAAGAAGCCAATAACTTCAACCCGGGGCAGCAAATCAAAAATTGGAACTAAAAGAAAAGTTGTTTGTTTTAATGAGTTCTAACCCTGGTCCTAACTGTCTTCTTCTTCGGATGTAACGACTTAGTATTAGCACCCTGTATATTATACGCACAGGAAATAAAGACAAAATAAAATAAAGCTAGCGTAATAGGTTTTAAAGATGAAATAAAAGAAAAATGCAAAATTTCCGAAATCCCTGTAAAAAATATAGAAATAGCATTTATTACGAATATTCCAAAAATAAATAGAATCAGCACCAAATAAGTGCACCCATTTCGTTAGGTAAAAGTGTATGTTTGTATTGGTCATAGTTCTCCCTCAGCTAAAATATAGTGAGTGAGCGACGAAGACATTTCTAATTCCCTTGTTGCTTTGATTTTGGTGCCCTTTCCGAATAAAGCAAACAAAGGCCTCATGGTTACATAAGTTATTGCAAATAGCTCGGCAATTTTTGGAATAATATCTCTGCTTTGCTTATTGCCGGGCATTATACTTGATACTTGGCATATGCCTGGCGTAGCCGCCTCTCTCAGAATTTGGTCAACTGTTATGGGGAGGTGTCCCTGGTAGGTACCATTGAATATCCATATTCAATGTAGGTACTAACAGGGGTGCATATCCACCACTTTCTTGCCATTGTGCTGGGCCGCGACATATGACAAACAATGTGGTGGATTTTGTGGATTGGGGAGGTTGTGGGTAACTAGTGAAAATGTGTAACGAGCTATACAGGGTGTTACACGACCGTTCGAAAAAAAAAATCGGGTTGTAGAGGGCATCAAAACAAGCACTTTTTCCAAATAAACCGAGGGTCCAACGTGTTTCGTTTGGGAGCCACCCCCCAAAGAGTGTTGAAATCTGCATTTCTTCTTTAATTTTTTTCTCAGCAACCATAAGAGTTACAAAGTCGGGTGGCATGTCTTTGAATAGGTTTTTGGGTATGCTCTTTCCGATTTTGCAATTTTTTTTTCAAAATTCCTACCCCTAAAGGGCGCACCCCTAAACTAGGGTGCAAAAAAAAATTCTGATTTCGACGAAATTTGGTATCTGGGGTTTTTTTAACATGAAAATCACGAATCTGAAATTAGTTTTTGAAAATTCGAAAAAAAAAGTTCCACTGCAATTCTTGGCGGGACAACGAAAATAGAGATAATTCCACGAAATTTGTTGTGTACATACTAAACGAGTTAAGGAACAAAACTGTCGAACAGTTTTTTAAAATAACTTTTCAAACAAAAGTTATACTCATTTGAATGTTGGTCCTTCGGGTCGCGAAGTGTCCCAAGCCTACTAGTAAGCCATAATTTCGCATGTGTTGGTTGACAATGTCGCAAAAACAAAAGATTAACGGTTTGAGTCGATATTTTGTTATTTGGAATTAATTCGGTCATTAAATGATTAAAAAATTCGATGTATCGATTAAAACACCTACCAAGGTATCTTAAAGCGCTGATCGATTATTTATTATCTAAATAAGGTAGGGGAAAAAGTCAAATCACTTTCCGTATGATACTTTTTCACTATGATCAAAAATTTTCATAATCTTAGGTTGAAAAATAACTTCCAAAAGAACACGCTCCTTTTAAGGACAAATCGAAAAGGTACATTAAATTAATGTGAAGTTAGTTGTTATTTTTATTTCTTCCAATTATCAATTTACCTAAAAACAATGGAATGTTTACTTATTATTATTATTATTATTATTATTGCTTACTAGTAGGCTTGGGACACTTCGCGACCCGAAGGACCAACATTCAAATGAGTATAACTTTTGTTTGAAAAGTTATTTTAAAAAACTGTTCGACAGTTTTGTTCCTTAACTCGTTTAGTATGTACACAACAAATTTCGTGGAATTATCTCTATTTTCGTTGTCCCGCCAAGAATTGCAGTGGAACTTTTTTTTCGAATTTTCAAAAACTAATTTCAGATTCGTGATTTTCATGTTAATAAACCCCCAGATACCAAATTTCGTCGAAATCAGAATTTTTTTTTGCACCCTAGTTTAGGGGTGCGCCCTTTAGGGGTAGGAATTTTGAAAAAAAAATTGCAAAATCGGAAAGAGCATACCCAAAAACCTATTCAAAGACATGCCACCCGACTTTGTAACTCTTATGGTTGCTGAGAAAAAAATTAAAGAAGAAATGCAGATTTCAACACTCTTTGGGGGGTGGCTCCCAAACGAAACACGTTGGCCCCTCGGTTTATTTGGAAAAAGTGCTTGTTTTGATGCCCTCTACAACCCGATTTTTTTTTTTCGAACGGTCGTGTAACACCCTGTATGTAACCCAGGAGAGAATATATTTTAATTTTCAAGAAAAACTTTCATTATGTATTTATTAGTTTAGTACAAATAATAAGTGAGACAAACTTTCTACACTTAACCTCATTTTGAACTTTGGACAACACCTAAATTGATAAAATTCGTTTTGCCATTGGCGCTATCATGTAATACTTATAGTATTGTAATATACCTTAAATTAGATACACCTATGAAACTATGCGAATTTATTACCCGAATTAGAAATGGAATGATGAACATTGAGAAATGCTCAATTTCTACATAATGTACCTATTTGCATGTTATTTGATGTTCTAAACTAAAGCATAAATTCAAGTAGGTACGTGTGGCCTTATGCAGTTACTTACGGGTTTGTAATGTTTCACATAATAGGGTGCACCAAACACTCAGAAGAGTTGCAAGAAATTTCATTTTCTGTTATTGTTGCAGCTCTATAATTTCAACTACTGTTTACGACAAAACACATCGATTTATCGTTATCAATGTTTTCCAACATTATACATATCAACAAATAAAAAAATTTGTGTATTTGCAATACAATCGCAAATTGAAAAAACTCTTTTACATCCGGAATATGACTATACGCACATATTTTGTTTATTTTAACACGATATACCACCAAATCTTTAATATCATAAAATTGATATCCTATTTGTTATGTAACAAACAAAAACCACGATGCAATGATGTGGTGATGATGAGCAGACGAAACGGAAACGTAAACCCACAACGCCATTACTATTAATTGATTGAATGGAATAAAAATTGTGAGTAATTAATCAAAAATGATAAAGCCATAAGATTAGCTACTATAATAGTATATTCAAGTATTAGTTTATAATGTGAAAGCGATTATAAAAGGAGCATTGAATTTATAAATTCAATGATAGGAGTGTTATAACAAAAACGCACAATATAAATGAATGTTTTACCCCAAGGATACTATATAATAAAATTACAAAAGTCCTCGTATGTGCATCGATGAGACTTCAGCGCATTTTTGGCGTGACGGATCAGTATTGCATTAGCAATCAGTATTTTATCAGAAAATTTTAATTATAAAATAAGGTTTATGCAAACATATATTTCTTTATTAATTTTCACGAACTCTAATAATAATTGGACGATGGTATGAACAGTACGACTCGTAAACCGAACAATCAACAGTGTAGTTGACCATTTTGCCAAAAACTCCGTCAATTATTGTTCCGCCATTCGTTGTCACTGTTCGGGGAGAGATGATCACTATATTGAATTTCTCTTGAAGAAATTTCTCAACCCGATTTCCGACAGTTAATGGGAAATTAAAGTCTCCCATAATCAAGACGTCTTCAGTTGCCTCAATGAAATCCCCGATCTCCGATAACGCTGCAATCAACAAGTTGTTGACGTTGCAAGAAAGTTGGCATTGCGCAGTCACTGCGCATGCCAACACATAATTTTTACTATTTGCGAAATGTTTGCCTTTACTAGAAGCATCTGTGGTTCCAATTTCAAAGAAATATCTCCATAAATAGGAAAGTTGGCATTGCGCAGGGACTGCGCATGCGCACACATAATTTTTAGTATGTGCGCAATGTTTGCCTTTACTAGAAGCATCTGTGGTTAAAATTTCAAAGAAATATCTCCATAAATAAGAAAGTTGGCAATGCACAGTCTGCGCAAAATAGAGAGTGCAATAAAACTGTCTGAAATGGGCAAATATAGACCATAGCAGCTATCAATTAGCGAAAACCCGAAGTCTCTAGGTGTCCCAGGGGCCGAGATCTCGATGGAACGGACGGACGGACGGACGGACGGACGGGCGGACGGACAGACGGAAACACGAGCACATAAGCGTTACCTCAACTTCGTTGTGTTACGCTAAAAACCGCTCAGACCTGGATACGATATTTTTAACCAAAATTATACCACAAACTGTAAAACTCATCACCGTGTTATGATTTTGATTAGTTTTCACCTTGAAGTAGTTATCCTAGATAAGTCATATTAGTGACCGTAGTTAGGCAATGCCAAAAGTATATTTTATAAAAAAGCCATTCCTCTACGTCAATCGGATCGGCTTAAAATCGATATGCGCACGGACAAGTTTTCAAGCGACGTTAGTTATTTCGCAAATTCTAATTAAACGCAACCACTACGGGCTTAATGAATATCCATTGCGCCAATAACTCGACAAGACGGAGATAATGCAAAAAACCGGACCTCTCTACGATGTCTAGATCAAAAGTTTTTCAATCCGCCCAGCCAGCCAGCCAGCCAGCCAGCCAGCCGGACAAAGTGAAATGATAAGCTCCTTTTTGTTACCAAAAATGCGCTAATAAGGATTGCTCGATCCCTATACTTGTAATGTTGCCCAAGTTTAAGTCATATGTGACGTCACCAACGGACCTGGCTGTCAGAATTGACAGTTATAATTTGTTGTGAACGTATTTGAATGGACGCCAGGACGCCGATGTGCAACATTATACTGTAACAACAGCCGTGTTTGCACAAAAATCACTAACACGGAAGAGTCATTTACCATAACTTCCCTAAAACCGATGGATTAATACGCAAGGAATGGATATGGTGCTGCAAGCGAGATTAATGGACAAGTGTTTCTAATTGAAATGCCTGCCTACAACACCCATTTGAACGTATTTTATGGTAATCCTAATAAGGTCGATTCTCATTAGAGCAGCATCGAGCGGTGCGGCGCAGAGCAGCGCGGCGCGTCGCTAGCAGCAAATTGTAGAGGGGTATTCCCACTTAAGCACCATTTGGAAGCGCGACGAAGCAGCGTTTCTGTTTGTGTTCAGTTTAAGGGAGATTGTATTCTTACAAGCTCGAAGAAGAGCCATCATCGTCATCATCACCAGATGATTTCATAATATTTATAGCGGCACTATAATAATAATAATAATAATAATAGTGCCTTTATTGCAGTGAAAAGAGTTCTTTGTAGTACATAAATATGTAGAGGCGAAGTTCAGCGAATGCTGCTCTTCCGCTTAACCTCTAGGTTTAAATACAAAAAGTAAACTTAGCAACGTCAAACATACATTTGCAGTACATGTGTGCGAGTCTTTAATGGGGTAATAAACAATATAGAACCATAATGTAGATAGCTAAAATTTCAAAAAGTAGGTACACACAGATAAAATTTAAAATAAAAAAAAAAATAAAATAAAATAAAATTTGGATCCCGGTGAAACGCATTGCTAACAGAGGCTATTATTTTGGTTATCCAGAAGATATGACTTTAGTTGTTTTTTGAACCTCACTCCGTCTAATTCTCTTAATTTGGCGGGGATATTGTTCCAACTTACCGCGATGTTGTCGCGATGTCATGCCATGTACACGACGAAAAAAGAAGAAAAAGAAAGCGAACGAGTACAATTAATTTTTCTATTCTTTGTCCGTCCATAGCGAATCCACTAACACACGCAAGCTCAACACAGAAGACAAATAAATGCTTTTCACAAGCCGCACCACCACGCCGATCTGCTTCGCTCCTCAATTCCCACTTGTCCGTCTACACGCAGAGTGGCGCGTTTCAAAGCAGCGTATTCCAATGCTTTCCGGCGCGTTTAAAATTTTCTGCGCTGCACCGCGCCGCTCTGCTCTGCACCGCGCTGCTCGATGCTGCTATAATGGGAATCAGCCTTAATCAAAGCATGCGCTGGTACTGGGTCATGTTTTTTCGTAACACTTCAACTTTTTCTCGAAAAACTAAAAAATGGAAGCGTCATCATCCAAAGACGAAATTAGTGAAAAATCAGAAGAAGCAGAGTTTTGTTTCGTTCCCAGAGTTTTTTTTTGCTTTATAATATCGATATATGCACCTGCAACCCCATAGGACTCGACACATTTGGACAGATTCCTAGGAATATTGTAAAGTATTTGGAGTTACCGAATGCTTAACTGTATACGGCGCATTCATTCCGAAGGACCTCTGCAACAATTCTGGGAGATAGTGGTGCCGATGTGTAGATGCTTAAAAGATACGTCGATTGCAAAAGTGACGCAGCAGCAGCCCTACCCTAACACTTGGGTCATTGGTTAGAACCACCAGTATTACAAGTGAATCGACTGTCAAGACCTCAAGCTCCTAGAAGATAGGAAGAGGAGGTATTTTTCCATGGCCAGCTAGGTCACCGTACCTAATTTCCTTAGGCTTTTATTTGCAGGGGAGGATAAAAGACTGATTTCCGGTTTCACAAACGATGATTAAGCTTAATCAATGATTAAAAATACTAGAATATTAGCCACTTGATTATACGCTCATTTGTTTCCCATTCAAATATTTTTAATTAGTGATTTTTTTAATTAGTGATTAACGATCATCGTTTGTCAGTTTGTGAAACCGGGCACTAGTCTTTCAAACGAGGCCAAATACAGGATGTGGTGGTAAGAATTACACATGGAATTCATAGCATATTTATGACTGAAGTTGAAGCTGCTATTCGTTCCGATAATCGGCGATTATTGGTTCGTTCGAATTTAGTCTCGAATTTAGTTCACTCGTTGCGCTCGTGGACTAAACATCTTGCTCACCAATAAAACCCCTCATTTATACACTCATTGCATAAATAACTATTATGTATTTATATGTATTAAATAAATTTTGTTTTTATGTGCCTTAGAAAAGGGTCAGCTTGCTCATATTGCTAACCGATTCTTATAGTTAACCCTTGACATGTAGTGATTGAATTTTAGTTTCATGTCAATGTTTTGCAAGCCCGTGCAAATATGTCACCTGTTCGTACGATTTGATGTCAACTGTCAATAAATAATGTGAACAGAAACTTAAGAAACGATTTTAATTTGTAAAAACGACAGAGAAATCCGAGAAGTATATAGCAAGTTAAAAAGTAGAAGATTGACAGTCATCAATCATTTTAAGCCGTGCGTTTTTTGGCGAAAACTGTCAAACACAGGCATGCTGACCACCATAATATTGAACGCGCGTTCAATTTGAACAATTAAACTTTTCGACCAAGGTCGCAGTTTCTATGTCACTTCAACCCTTTTCGAGCCCCTTTTGAGTTCTACATTTAAAAAAATCACAGCTATCAACATCAAGCAATTAAGAGCTTTACTCTAGCCTGCATTAATAAAATTATACCCTACATTTTGTTATTTATGTTAAAGGACCTTTTAGTGTCGTTTCGCTGACTATTTTTCCATTCATGTTTAAAAAGTTAATTGATTTTTAGGAAAAAAAACATTCTATGTTTATTACTTCAAAATTTACAAGAAAAGCAAATTAGTAAACCCATGAAATTCAATATTTGTGATTTTGTGAAAAAATAGAATGCAGCGCATTGTATTGGCGTGAAATGTTTCCTAAACACACAGTTAATAGGTGCCGGATGAATAATAAATTAGAATTTAAGAAAAGTCGGGTAAAACCGCAATATAGATTATAGAATTACCGACCGCTTTCCTCAGTTTTTACGATTGAAAATAAATACTTTGTGTAATTATTTTTACGTGAAGGGTGGTTAAGATCCACTTGTATTCGCCAACGACCGAATCTCTTGTAAAGGGTCACCCATCGGGAACGCTGGAAGTTAAATGCATGCTTGCTGTAATTGAGCGTTGAAGCGTTCACGGTTCCATTTTTTTCACCAAATTTGACATTTGAGCAGTAGAAGGTGGTACAGTTTAGTTGACAGTCGCGATGGAATGCTATACAAC